AAATGAAAAAAATTATATTAAAGACACAATATCTAATAAATGTCAAAATATTAATTTAAACCCATAATGTTTATTAAATGTTAAAATATTAAATTAAAATACGGAGAAAATATTATATCAATCGTCATTTTCTTCTTGTCCAAATCTTTGTCAAATCTCGTCAACTATATCTGATTGTAAACAATGATTCGTTCACCTATTACATATTTGTATGTGATTTTAGAGATAGTTTTCGTACTCGGAAAGTATGCTGAAAGAAAGGATCCATAGTTTTTGCACCTTCAACTATGCAAAGAAATAGTTGTCTCCTCATTTGAAATCTACGTCGAAATATATCTTCTTGGTACGTTGGATTTTAAGAGAAGTAGTCTTTGTATAGACGCTTAGATATATCTTCACGGTGTTTTGAAGTTTGTTGGTTGTTTTGAGTAGGTTCAACTGCGTTGGGAAAGCGGCTGGAACGAAGAAGATAAAAGAATAAAGCTTGGATGGTGTTGCATGAAGAGGAGAAGTGGAGTCAACAAGGTTTATCAAGAGATAATAATCCATCAGGTTGATCAACGATGAATAAAAATCAAGGTTCAAAATGGTGTGAGACGGGGCGGGGCGGCGAGTTCAAGCCTGATACGTCACAGCGAGGATGCGGAGTATAGGGGTGTACACGGATTGAGTTGAACTTTTTTTTTTGACATTTTTACAACTCAACTCAATTATGACGGTTTGAAAAATCTCAACCCAACTCAACCCATTCAACAGTATAACCCAACCCAACCCAACATTTACAGGTTAGGGCGGTTGATTGGGTTAGCGGGTTACTAAAATTCATACGTTGGCAAATGAAATTTGATAAATAATACTAAAAATATACCCAACAAAGTCATTAGTTATTACAATCATTCAAAAATATATCTAAATCCTCAAGTCTTGGAATCAAATTTAAAAAATTTGAATGATAGCATCCGATTCAAATACTCAATCAAGTATGACCGTCTTGGACCTTCCCTACTCCAATGTTGCATTCTCCTTGAGTTTGTCTACAATTCAAAAAGAATATTAAACCATTTATTAAGAATATATAAGCATGAAAAAAGAACCATTGTTAAGTTTACCTTTTTCAAGAAAGTTATAAGATGAAATTTCATCCCAAAATTCACTTATTTGAATCCCCTCATTATTCTCTTTCAACCAACTTTGTGTGCATACAAGGGCCTCCATCATTTTTGGACTCAAAAGAGCTTCTAAATGAGTCTAAAATACAACCGCTAGTACTAAAGGCGGATTCAGATGCTACGGTAGATATAGGTATAACAAGAACATCTGTAGCTATCATTGACAAAATGTTATACCTATTAGTATTATCTTTCCACCAAAGTACTACGGCAAATGATGGAGTCTTTGGATTGATAGATCCATCAACCAAATATCTACCAACGTCGTTCATGTTTTTTGGCACGTCCATTTATTGTTGTTGCAAAAATGATTCCAATTTTTTTTTTCCTTTGAGATTCTTTAGAATCATTTTGTGGTGGTGATTCTAGTTGATAGCCTATACACACAGAAATAAAAATACAAACATAAACACAACAAACAATAACATATTAACATGCATAATAACATTTTTAAAAACAATCATGCATAAAACTAAGTAACCAACCTCATCACCATCTTTACTACCTTGTGAATATTGATTATACAATTGATGAATAATTTGTTCCACCTTGACAACAAGCTTATCAACGGTTTGAGCATCATATAAGGACTCAAAACAAACTTCAAATACTTCAACTTATATCTCGGATCAAGCACAACCGCCAAAAACAACATGGGATTGATGTGATCTGGATCAACCCGGTATTTGTGATATTTACTCTTCATCTTAGTAGCCATGGTGTATAACAATGAACCATTGTTACTAGCCAAGTAAAATTGAGAATCAATCTCACAAAGCTCATGAAAAAAATTGTTGGGAGTTACGTGCAATGTGCCACTAAACTTCAAAGTAACTTCGTAAAAAGTGGACAAAAATAGAAGCACACTCCCAATCACTAGAAACAAAGAATAAGACAACACATTAAATTCGAGATGTATCTCGCTGTATTGCGCGAGTACCTTTCTAGTGGTTAATAATAATTGTAGTAGTAATAATAACTTAAGATAGTTTAGGCATATGGAGTAAGTCCTTGTTCGACGACGGCTTATTGAGCCATATAACAGATATAGCCGATTCACACAACTATACCTTTGTGTTCGGTAAGGGCTTAATCGAGCATACAGGGGCTGATTCACACAACCATAATATCACACTCCTATCCACTCAACCATTACTTTTCCCCAACTAGCTCTCTCTCCAACTACTCACATTAATTGAAAAAGAACCCTAAAAATAGAGACGCCGACTATTGAATCCATCTCACATGCCGCTCGTTGAATCCACCATTCTCCACACAGGTATGTTGTTCTCCTCGTCGATTGTTCTTCACTGTGCTTCGATTCTCCGTGTACCTGTTTGATTACCCTTTTATGATAGATTGGTTCAAAGATTCCTGTCCGATTTACCCATTTCTGTTCGAACTCTTTGAACCAATCGATTGTTCCTCACTATGCTTCAACCTTTTTGTTCTATTTTTGATTTTGCTGTTCGATTTCTGATTTGCTGTTCGATTTCATGATTTTACTGTTCATGATTCAAGAGAGTTAACCAATTGATTGTTCCTCACTATGCTGTTCGATTTACCCATTTTGCTGTTTGATTTCATGATTTTCACTTTTTCTTCAAGTTTTCACTGTCCATGGTGTTGAATGTTCAACTGTTCGATTTGTGATTTTGCTATTTTCACTGTCCATAGCCAAGTGCATAGGATACTCCTAAGATCACCATTTGCACCAAGTCCAAGCTCTTCCATAATAAGATGGTTAACTTTTTTTTGAAGCAGAATCTGATTTCACAGTATGAATTGTCTGTCGAGCAACTTCAAAAGTGTTGGTATAAGCTAGTGCAATAAGTAGTCTGGTAGTAAGAAAACAAGTTTAGTAGTTCAACAATAACGGTATAAGATTATAAGGTAACTAAACAAAAATCACCTTTCCATTTAGTAAATGTGTGTAACCCATAATCTCTTTCACTCTATCTTGATCTTTAGTAGTTCAACAGTTGCAGCTGAGATGCCATGTGGTATAAAACATAAAAGTGGAAAAGAAAAACCCCAAAAGTATGACAAGAATGCTACAAGTTCTAACAACTTTTGCCATTGTTCATTATTTCTCTTTTAATATTGAAAATGACCTAATATGTTCATTATTTCTGCTTTATGTCATTGTTCATGCCATTGGTTGCTTTAATTATCTGATTCATTTGTATATGTCTTTGTCGATTATGTGTTTCCAACTTGCTGATTTTCAACCGATTAAGTATGGAACAAATAGCCGATTCACAACCGCCAAAAAGAACTAGGATAAGTTAGAAAAACAGGGTTGTTGTAAAAACGTTTCTAGAAAGTTGCATTCTTGAGATAGCTTTGAACGGAAAGGAAGGCGGAAGTCTAAAATCATTGTCCTGGAAGAAAGTTCCTGATCATCTAAAAGAGATTCACACTTTCATTAAATAGAAAGCAAATGTGTAACCACTATGACTACTTAAAAAAAATATGGGGCGTAGGTTAAAACTTAAAAACAAAACTGTGAATGTGTATGATCCTTCAACTAACTCATTTAATTTGACACCCGAGCAATGAGAACTCAAGATTCAGGTCACTTTCTGTTATACTTTTTTTTTCTTTCTATTCAAAATTTGATCAGTTACTTGTAATTTTTTTTAACTCAATCAAATAAATATGTTGAATCGTTAAGGACAACTAATCTTCCATTCTCTGAGTTGTGTACGCAATTGTTTGAAGGCGGTGTTTCCATGGGCATCAGAAGCTTTGGACCGCTATCAAATGACCTCGAGCCTTCTGTCGAGCCTTTATTTGTTTCCAACAATGAGGAAGTGGAGATCTCCAATTCCCAACCCACCTCCTCAACCCCGATATCTTCAGCTCGTATTCAAGTGAGAACCAACAAGAGAAAAGTTAGTCAATCTGACATAGATGAAGACATTTTTTTCGTTTTTAAAAACTTTAGTCGTAAAACATGGGAACCCCGATGGTGTTGAGCTTCCTTCTTACATGGTTTATCTTCAAAAACTCAACGAACTTGGATGGCCAAAAGATGGTCCATTGTACCGTATTGCAATGACTCTTCTTGGTGACAAGGACAATAGAGAGCCATGGTTGATGATACTGCCCGGATTTGCGTTTGATTGGGTTAAGACGGTTAGAGATAAACAAGGCTACAAGTACGTGATTGTCGGTTTAGCCATTGATGTTTAGGATTATGCTTGCTTTTTTGTTGATGTTTACGATACATTTCCAATGGTTTTTTTGTTGATGCTTATATACATTTCTAATGGCTTTTTTCTTGATGCTTATGACTCTTTTTATTGAAGGGTGCAATTGTGATTTCAATATGATATTCACATTTGTTTGGGCTGGATGGGAAAACATTGCACATGATTTTACTTATATCGAACATGTTTAATCTGAAATAATGTTTGCATGTTTGCCTAATCATTTGTTGCGTGTAGATAAATATTATCTTTGTGATGCTGCATATTCCAACGTTCGTGGATTTTTAGCTCTGTATCATAACACGAGGTATTGGTTACCAGACTATCGACGCAAACGTGCTTTAACTAAAGAAGAAAAGTTCAATCATGCACATGCACAACTTCGAAATGTCATTGAACGTGCTTACGGTGTCTTGAAAGCTAGATTCCTAATCTTGAAGTAAATGACTCCTTTTTCATTTACAAAAGAAAGAAATGTGGTCATTGCTTGCTTCGTGATACACAACTTTATAAGAAAATGTAGGGGTGTTCAAAAAAACCGCCGGACCGCTCAAACCGGCCGAACCAAGTCAAACCGGACCGTTTTTGGCGGTTTGAGCGGTCTGGCGGTCCAGTCTGGTTTGAAAAATAGCCGAAACCGGGCGGTCTGGTCGGTTTGCGGTTTAGACTTTTTTTTGGGCGGTTTGGACCAACCCGACCGCCATATATATATATATATAATTTTATTTTAGTATTATAATTATTCAGCCCAAACATAAAAGCCTTATCCAAAAGATTTCCTAAATCCTCTAAATCTAAATCCCTAATTTGGTAATTCCTAACCTAATCGGCTAATCCGAACATCCAGTAATCCATCGTCAACGATTACACGATATCCACTATCCACCTCTTTTTCGTTCCTAATCGTCGCGACGTCGCCTAATTCATCTAAATCCCTAGTGTTTTGAGTTTTTTTAAACAATGAACACTAAGATTTGGATTCTATTTTGACTTTGTTTTTTGGTATGTTTTACATATTTATTTGTTTGGACTTTGGACTTTGGATTGKTTAAATTGGSTTTAAACTKTAATGGYTACTTCAATGCTTAGTGGTTGGTATACAGATTACTCACATGTGAARGACACTTATTTTTTAGTACTTTTATTGTAGAAAACAAATCTCCATGGGAGATGATTATGATRGGTGATTAATATTTATTATTCAAATTTATAATAGTACATATGACACTAGGTTTTTTGGTTTTAATGTTTAAAACCCATTAAAGGCCCAAACCGCCTAAACCGGTCAGACCAGACCGCCTTTTTGTGGTCTGGTTTGACCGGTCTGGGCACTTGGTTTCAAACCGCTCGGTCTGAAAATTTCACAAACCGCCATTACGGTTTGGTTTGTGGTCTGAGGGCTTAAACAGCCCAAACCGGACCGCGAACACCCCTAAGAAAATGTAATGTTCAAGATCAACTTTTCACTAATGGAGAAGAAAATGTTGGAAGTGGAGAAGCAGAACTAGATGGATCACAATGGGGTGTTAATAGCATACAATATATGGCTAATTTGCATGATCAAATTGCAAATGAACCAATTTCAAATGTTTGATATTTTAAATTGTATCCAAGCTATGATGTTGATTTGTTTTTATTACAAAGACTTATTAATGTTGTTTTGATTATAACATTTAACTCGTATACTTATGTTAATCAAGTTGTTTTTATTTAAAAAACTTTTAAATTGATATTTTTTAATAATTATAAGTCATTTGTTCAAACATTTTCATCAAACTGTTATTTTATTTAGACAAAAATAAAGACTGGGGGTAAAATAGTCATTTCTGACATTCAGACTGTTTATTCAGCAAAACAACTGAACAACAACTTATCTATTAATATACATAAAACTATATCAATAAAGATAACTATATCCATACATGTCTTAATAGAAAACGAACCGAACAACCCTTGAGTTGATTTAGATTGAGCTGTCAAGGAGATGAAGAAGTAAGGGAAAATTGTGCAGTTCAGGCATTCTATCCGAATTAGGATTGTTAAAAAACCCACCCAACCCAACTAATCTGGTCAGTCCAATCCAACCCAACGTGAAATAATCCAACTCAAAGGAACTCGATATCTAATCGAGTTATAAAATTTTTAAACCGTAGATATTAGGTTGGAATCGAGTTACAGACTTACAGTCATTTGAATCCAACCAAATCCGATGAAACCGGTCTCTTTTTATTTATTGGATTTAGTATGACTGTCAAGTCTTTATTAATATGTACATTATACAATTACACCATCACATACTCTCTTCGTATAGATATATTTTCAATCTTTTCTCCATTTCTATATAACTCTTTAAATGTGAACATATATATGCAAATTGAGAAAAGTAGTTGAATGTGATATACTTGTAAGGAGTATGGATAAGCTATATCAAAATATTGATGATAAAAAAAGAATTATGAATAGAGACAACAACATATAAAAGTAACAAGAATATTTTGACGTACCAACCAACCCGTACGGTTCGTCCACCCTACCATCTATCTCCGCCCTATAACCACCCCGATTAAGTTTGAGTTTAATATCAAAACAAGTTTTTCTTTTTGATAATTTCTGAAAATTAATATACTAAAATCGTTATGTTTTATGGGGGTGTTTGAGATTGCTTATTTGAAACAACTTATGTTTTTTTACAAAAATGCTTATCAACTTATTATAAGTTAGTATGGTAAGAGTTGTCACTGTCACTTACCGCGTAAGAATCTCGGTCCTTACCATGCTCCTCTTTTAAGTATATAATATTTATATACGACAAATGCAATAAATAAACTCATACATATATTCTTCACCTTTGATGAAGTTTGAACCCTTGACTTCCTAAGAGGCCAAAGGCTCAAATACCGCTAGGCCAAAAGCCCTTTAGTTTGCCGTCGCTCTTACCGGATAAGATTCTTGGTCTTTGCCTTATTAATCCGATAAGAAAAGGGACTTGGTAAATGCTTACCGGATAAGCGTTTAGTAAACGGCCCCTTAGCTTATACACCTGGTGAGTTCAAGATAATTCACAATGAACAGTTCAACCAATCCCACACTTTCAAAACAGTGCATAACTTGCATCAAATTCAAGCAGCATGCCAAATACATGCTATCATAATCAAAATTAGTATAAGCTCATGATCAACAAAATTCACCAGAGCATTATGTATAATTAACACCATGTGAACAACCGGAATCAGTAGAGAAAAAAGTATCCAACAGTCCACTTATCCTTTAGAATAATTTCGGGATTTAATCAGTAATGCACATTACGCCCACCTGACAATATACCCATTCGTTCACGATACTAAAAAACAACACCCACCTCCCTATCAAACTATAAATGAAAACGACCACGATACAAACACAACAAAAAAGGGTAAACCTACGTCGTTGGATCAATTAAGTCTTGAGCCAACTAATTAAATGACAAAATGAGGTAAAGAAAGAGAGTACAACTTGTTATGTATAACTTACAACTCTTTAAAGCATCACCCCAACTTCAATCAAGTCTTGGGCTTCTTCACTATCAAAACAGGATGCTTGATGTTCTGTGCACAGTGATTGCTTACACTCCCCAGAAATGCCCTGCACCCCATTAGAAAACATAGTCAAGACATTTCATCAAACACTTGGTGATCCATTCATAGAGACCACACTGACTAACCTCTTGATCAAACCATACCCATGGCTGCCCAATACCACCATGTCAACCGCCATTTTTTCCGCCACCTCGCATACTACGTCCCTTGGGTCCCCCATGTCCACCCTCGTCTCCACCTTCACCTGCAAATTAACAACTCGAATCACTCCTCATCCCCCAACCACCATCATCATATCACTAATTAAACAAGATTAATTCATGCTCAAAAACACACTTTCGGATGGTCTCTGCAAAGCTTCTTGGCTGTCTCAATCACAGTTTCAGCTACGTCGTTCCTGTACTTATCGATGGTCGCAATTACATCCGGCGAAAACAAATACCCTGACCAATTACAAAAACTTGAGACGAAGTTCTAATCCGTTTATGTGAAATAGTAAGAAATCAATCTCCTACCTGTTCCATCGAGAGCGGTGTAGACAGCTTGGGGTGGTTTGACGTAGAGGAGGACGATGGTATCCATTCCATCCTCAGTGACTATGTTTTTCAGGCACCATGACAGCGCATACTTGCTCTCCTCCCCTTCATCCACCGCCACCAGTATCTTCCGTTCCTTAGTTGCCATGGATTTCAACGATTTCTTGCTCTTGCAAATTACTAAATCTGGAGTGGGTCTTTAGTTTTTGTGAGAGAGAGGATTGGGTGCATATTGTATTTAAAGTGGTTGGATTTACAGGCGGCGGTTTCCGGTGTTCATTGCGGTTAACGGTTTTGGCTCATGTTTTTTTTTTTTTTTTGTATTAATTAAAATAGCGGACCCGTGCACTTCATTCCAAAAATTATGAAAATTGACAGATTGCCATTCACGGGGATGTCAACGTATAAAAAAGTAAAATTTTTAAATCAACAAGGGATAATATTGAAATATTCATCTCTTGTCCATCGACTATGCTCTTCAGTCTGATCCTAAGCCTTGACTCACCCTTCATAAACGAACCTCGAACCAGCTCCGTAATTATAGAGATTAAATATGTAAATTAGTTAATAGGTACATAAAATATGTCCCTAATTACAGATGTGCTTTTCTAATTTGATGTATTTGGTCCTTGTAATTATGGATATGGTTCAGAAGTTTCATTTTTTTCTCTATATAAATTACGGACTTGTTAATTATGAGTCTATGGCTATTTTTGTAATTTTAGAAGAAAAATGGCTAAGAGGTAAACCATGTGGTCAAAATGACTATTTTAATTAATTTTAGATTAACTAATATTTACTAATAATTAATATATATTTATAATTAATGATTAATAATTAATATTAATAAAAGTTATAATTGAAAAAAAGTGAAAATAAGCTACAAAACGCTACGTCATGATATTAATATTTATTTATAATTAATTATTATAAATAATAATTAATATGTGCATCCAAATGTATGCTTAAAAAATAATTATTGAATATAACAATTCCAAAAATGTTTATATAAGTTACATAAAAAATAAAGTTATACTTWTTTTATTTCATAGATAATTAAAATATGCTAAATAATTTTAATAAAATATTTGATTTAATTATTAAATATATTTTAAAAAAATATTAATTTGTTCACCAGCTAACTTATCAACTACCAACTAGCATTTTAATCATCAGTTAACTTATCAACTAGTTTGCCAAATATAGCCTTAATTAAAATTCAAATCGCCAAGATAATCATCATATTTAACAAATACATGGGACCCATAAATTGAATTCTTATAGGAACTATCATTATGAAGTTTTGTATAGGTTCTTAGAACATCTCCACAACTGTGTTAAAATAGAGATTTTAGAAATCTAGAGTTTTTTTTTGCTCTAACAGCTATGATATAATGTTTGCTAAAATAAAAATAAATAAAGAGGAAAATGGTAGAAATCTTCAAATTTGAAGAAATCTCTAAAACCTTATATTTAAGGGACATAAAATAATATTTTAATTCTTTCTGACTATAGGAGACAAATATATATTAGACTAGACGACGGGTAAAATCAATTTCAATGGATTGTAAGAATTACATGATTTGCATTTGAATTATATGGATTGCATCCTCGTGGTTTCCATTTTATAATGTGTCGGGTCCGTAAATCTATCTCCATCTAGAAAATGTCGTTAGATGAGTTAAATCAAAGGGTATTTTAGTCATTTAGTTTATATTTTATTTTCTATTAAAACCATACGAATGTAATCGATTACTATATATTATTTTTATATTATTATGCATTACATATACCCAAAAACCTCCTCCCCTATTTTTGCTTGAACAGACTCGTTGTCCCACACCCTTTTCTTATCGACCTCCATCTTCACCTTAGCTACCTTCACCATTCTTCTTCTGGAGGAAACCTGCCATCCACCTCTTTGGTCCAGTGTCCCCTTACTCCGGCATCCATTCTCGGCAACCTCCAATTCTTTCCCTCTCCATCTCCGTCACCCTCCTGATTTAGGGGCTATCACTACATTGAGAGCAATCTGTTAAAAACATATCAGATATTTGCAATCTTGACTTACTTTACTGTTGTCCTTGTTTTGTCAGGATATTATCTAGCAAGGGTATAAAATGTTGATTCTGCAAAGTTGGGTTGTTCAAAATACTTGGAGGACTGCGCCTCATCTTTTGGAATTCTTAATGGTTAGCGGAGCACTTCGTTCAAATGTCCAAGGACCATTCTTGACACATTCCAGAAAATATATAAGCGGGTTAATTTCTTAGAATTGGCTCATAATTCACATTTGCAAGATTTGATTAGCTCTCGATTACTCTCTCTCTAAAATTTGTTCATATTCTTTCTTTTCTGTTTCTAAGTTAGATTTAAGATACGATTGTTATAGTTCTTATTTTAGCTTTAGGTTTCTGATCTTGAAATAGAATGTATAGATTTGTATGTTATTCTTTGATTTGTATATGAAATAAATCTGTTTTCTTCAAGTTTATACATTTTTAACACAATTCAAAACTGCCATTGATCTGCTACACTGGTTCAAGACCAGATTTGAGCAGGTGTGCTTCTTCGAGACCAACTTTGAGGGGGTGCTTCATCGAGACCAGATTCGAGTGAGGGGGCTTTATTGAGACCTAATTCATGATCTACTACCTTGGTTTCCGCTCAATACATCTCCACTGTTTGTTGGACTGGTTTTGAGGTCTTCACATGTTTGGTGAAGGGTAGCGAGTGACGAAGATGGTTCTTGATCTAGTGACCAAGAGAAGATGAATACAAAGACGGTCCCTGGAGTTTGCCATAACTTCTTCTACTTCCCTTTCCCTTTTTCCTTTGAATTTAGCTTCAAGTGAAGATCAACAAACCAGATCCAATTTGATTTCTTATTTTCGAATTTTGATTTTTGAGATGAGTTTACTGATTGATTCAAGTGTTCTTCCATCACCAAAAGACGTTCTGATTGAAGGTTTGATGATTTAGGATTTATTTTAGGTTTGTATGGGTTTTTGAATTAGATTTTGGGTCTGAATTACAAATCTTTTTATGAATTTAAACAAAATCGTTTGATTATGTTTAATGTTTGTTGTTGTATGTTGATGTTCTTCAAAAAGGAATGTTCTTGATGAATTCATAAATATTTTATTTTAAGGACCCAGACTGTTAAAACCCATAAACCATATGGACCAAAAATGTAATTTACTTTATGGATAATTAGATGTTAGATAATATATATCTCACTTGAAATTACAAAACCTGAACAAATTAAACAAACTTCAAAAAGACCAACTTAACCATGACAAATTGAATGAAGTAGAGTAAATTAAGAGGGTATATATGAGCCCTCGTACAACTTGTAATGTACAACGTACAACTCCTTAAAGCATCACTCCAACTTCAACCTCAAAACGTTGAATTTGCACTGTGATTCTTGGGCTTCTTCACTATCAAAACTGGACGCTTGATGTTCTGTGCACAGTGATTGCTCACACTCCCTAAAAATGCCCTGCACCCAATTTCCAATGCAATTGTTTAGTTAGACATTTCATCAAACATTTGGTGTCCATTGATAGAAACCAGACTGACCTCTTGATCAAACCATATCCATGGCTGCCCAACACCACCATGTCAACCGCCATTTTCTCCGCCGCCTCGCATATCACATCCCTTGGATCCCCCGCCTCCACCTTCGCCTCCACCTTCACCTACAAATTAACAACTCAAATCACTCCTCATCATATCACTGAACAAAGATTAATGCTAAAAAAACTCACATTCTGAAGGTCCTTGCAAAGCTTCTTGGCCTTCTCGATCACAGTTTCAGCTACTTCATTCTTGTACTTATCGATGGTCGCAATTATATCCGTCGAAAACAAATACCCTGATCAACAAAAACATCAAAATCAATTGCTCCTACGTTTTATATGAAATACCAAGAAATAGATCTTCCTACCTGTTCCATCGACGGCTGTGTAGACCACTTGCGGTGGTTTCACGTAGAGGAGGACGATGGTATCCATGAAATTCTGATTCACAACGTTTTTCAGGCACCACGACAGCGCGTACTTGCTCTCCTCCCCTTCGTCCACCGCCACCAGTATTTTCCTTTCCATAGATCTCAACGATAATTTCGTAATCAAGTCTAGAGTGGGTTGTGTTTGTGAGAGAGTATTGGATGCATTATCATTTATAGTTGTTGTATTTACAGGTGTCGTCAAGTAGCGAAAAAGCTGTTTGGCGGAGGGCATTTCTGGTATTGATGGCGGTTAATGGTTTTGTTTTGATGGTTTTCTGGTTTTCTTTTATCACCCTGGTTTTCGGTATTTGTTTCCTTTCTCCATCCGCCGTTGATTCAATTTAAATTAAATAAACTATTTTATTTTCTCTTATAAATTAAATAAATAATATACAAGTGACGTGTCAACCTCATCTATATAATGTTATCTATAATATGTTTGTAAATAAAATAGAAATATAAAAAATCTGTTGCGAATATAAACTTGTTTGAGATTGTTTATCTGAAATAATTTATGTTTTTTTTACAAAAGTTCTTATCAACTTATTATAAACTAGAAGAGTACTCGCGCAATGCAGTGAGATACATCGTGTTTTTAATATTTCATTTTATTCTTTATCTCAGTCGATGTTATA